ACGCTGCTTGACCCCGGGTACGAATCCCGATTGATGTATTTTTTTTTTATTTTAATTTTCTATCAGAAATATACTTTTTGGATATCATGTACTATATACTGCATATTATATATTACCTTACGCATATTTTAAGGTTGAAATTAATTTTTTAACGTAACATATCATGCCGGAATACCTACTTGCTGTAGGTGAGTAAGTCTTTACAACGATTTTTATGTTTGGTCGTAAGTTTATTTCGTTTTATCGTGACAGTCACATGAAGGAAGGTTTGAAAGTTTGAAAATGGATAGTGATTCTTTGCGTGCAAGTTGTTTTGAAGAAATAGTTATCGATAGCAGAGAATCCAAGCGTAAAGAGGATAGAATGTGTGTAATGTTTTCTCTTTCTCTGGCGTGTGTATTTTCCGGAATACTACTGTTAGTTGTACATGTATACGTTCCATTCGTTCGATTTTACTAGTGTTAAAATGAGAAAGCATGTTATCTTCTATCATTCTCCAAAATATAACACCCGTGCTCGAGCGATCACTTTATAGTTTGCCGCTACACCGAACCCCCTGTTTTGTCTACTGGTTCCTTCTCGTCACGCTCGAGAACGGTCAAGCCGAATATACCATAACTGTTTCGAAATAAGCAACTCGCCGCTCCCGATCGAGTTACTTATTTCGAGACATTGCTATACTTGTTTCTATTTGTATAATGAATTTCAATATATTTATCTCTATTCTACATAGATATGTTTGATACGCATCATGGCTATCAAAAAATCGAGTACATTTCATTAACGTAAATCAAGCGGTATTCCCAGTAGAATTAAATAAACAATTTTGCAGTTGTGAATCTAAAGCATTCATTCGATGTAAATGCTGATTAAAAATTTTGTTTCCACTGCTTTTTCGAAAATTATCACCCAAGTTCATGTACATCATAATGGAAATTGTTTGTTTTAAAAAATATATTCGAACATTAGTTATAAATAAGCCATATTTAACGAATGTATTTTTAAAAGAAAGTGAAAAAAAAGAATAGTGTAAGAATGTTTCAAGGGGACTCGAACTCGCGACAGAGGAATTATTATGCTGATGCTTTACTGACCACACCGAATTCGCTATTGACAGAATCGCTTATAATTCACCAAGTAAGCAGCAATAATAACTTCAATGTTGAATATCTCGTAAACTATAAATCGTCTGCCCCCAAAACTAAATATCATTCGCTTCAGTTTTCCACTGTGCAAAGGCTCATCAAAAAATTAGCGTCATATCTGGGCCCGTTCCCTTGTCAGTCACCCAATAAAGTGAAGATAGCAAACGTACTTTTATTGTCTATGATAGAAATACAGTGAGTAAGGACAGGGCGAATTAATAGGCTGATAATAGACCAGAGCTTTTGTACTGCAACGTGATTTCCCGACACGGTCCACGATCCGCGTCGGGAAGCGTGCAAAGTGAGAGTTTTTCGACTTCTCACGCCTTTACGGGAAAACCCGAGCGCCAGGTATTAGGAGATACCGGCGTGAGAAGCCGAACGTTGCGAAAATTACCACGGCTAGCGATCCGGATCATGGAGAGGGGCGTGGATCGTCGGCGAGGAAAGGAAGTCTGAGAAAGCTGTCTTCACGGCAAGACGGGGCGGATTAACACAGCACTCGTTTAAAATAATATAGAATATATTGTACGCAAAAGATGTTACAGAATACGGTATACACTGCCGAGCTGTCGTAGCGTCTAAGGTCACCGGGACGACCGGTAACCGACACGAGAACTACGTTTCGAAAACACGTGGGGATTTCGTTCACGATAGCCCAAATTCCGTCGCGATTCGCACAAAAGCGACTTTGGAAACGATGTTCGGACAGTCTTGACGCGGTCGCGGTGGGCTCGACCTCTTCGACGAGAACGATAACCGGCAGCGATTCAAACACGTGCGTGTTACAATGGACTCGCGACTAGATGTTCGTTAATTCGTTCGATATCCTACGAAAAGGCAATTTCCCGCTAACAATGCTATTTCGCCCGACAGGGTGCTCGGCAGCCACCAGGTAACCCGACCAATTCACGGTATCCTATCCATGAGCGTAAGGCAAAGGAGGAAACGCTTACTGTACCGTTCACCACGTGTGTCGCTGACGAAATAGGACGAGCTACGCGAGCTCGTCGCACGCGTTGGGTCACACGCTTCCCCCAGCCTCACCTCAATGGTCGGCGGCACGCGGCACCTAATGGCGGCCAAATTCAAATCGCGTTATCGGCGCGCTCGTCATCGGCGGTAGTCCAGTCTCGTCCCTCGGCGACTTTGGTGGCGTGTCGGTGCTGGCATCCCTCGAAGACTCTGGAGCGGGCCGGGTCTCGGTGCACTCGAGAACCCGGCTGACTTCGCTATCCTAAACGGCCTCCTGCCCCCTGAAGGTCGTAGCGGAGTCCAGGGGCTGTTACCAAGAATCTCCAGCCCCTGTCTATTTGAGCTTCGTCTGGCCAGTCCGTGCAGCCGGCGCCGGGTTGGACGGGATCGGTAGCCTCTAAGCCGCATCGCTGGATGTTGCCGTCGTTAGCCCAACGCTATTGCCCTTCAGATACGCAAATTAGTCATATCCCTGAGTTACCCTGGTGGCGCTCTCGATCTTGGTCGGTCTCGTTCCCCGCGGAGAGTTCACCTCTTTGTGACGTGGGAATCTGCCACGTCACAGTACTTAACATTATATAAAAGTAGGACTTTATTATCTTAGCTATTACATACAACGCGATACAGAAACATACTCACGAGAGCAGCGCCAAAACAAGAGAGAGTCATCAAACTAAAAAAAAACATTTACACATAATGCTCACTGTATGCATTGACTGATACTTTTTCAACATACCTCCCTCAATATATACAGTGCATTGACAATAAAACACAAACAAAAATTACCTTTTTTTTTTTTTAAATTACATTCAAGTTCCTTTAAACCCATTCCTTTACAACAAAATATATGCTTTGGCTTACACAACGGTTTGGTTAAGACATCCGCTACCGTTTTTTCTGCTGGTAGGTACTCTAAACCAAACTCATTATTTTTAATTACATCTCTTACAAAATGATACCTTAGATCGATATGTTTGGATCTCGCATGAAATACCGCATCTCGCGTAAGCAGATTTGCACTTTGATTATCATTAAACATCTTAATATCTACTTTCAATTTAAGTTCTTTAAGGAAATTCTTAATATGTATAGCTTCCTTGGCAGTTTCTGTTATTGCCATATACTCGGCCTCTGCCGCTGACATCGCTACAGTCTTTTGTTTCTGAGATTTCCACGAAATCGCAGCATTCCACATCACAAAAACGTATCCAGTATAGGATTTCCTATCTGTTACATCGCATCCCCAGTCTGCATCCGCGTACCCATTTATTTCAAAGTTTCCTCTTTTATAAGTTAAACCTAAATTACATGTCTGTTTTACATATCGCAAAATTCTTTTTGCTGCAATCCAATGCGCTTTAGTGTACGCTGATGTAAACTGAGCTAAAAACACAACTCTATTCATTATATCTGGCCTCAACACTACGGCCAGATACATTAATGCACCTATTAATTCTCTATATGGAACATCACAGTTATTTACTTCAGAATCAAACTTTTCATTGATATGACCAGGCGTATCTATTCCTTTTGCATTTTCCATTTCAAATCTGTTTAAAATATCTTTTATGTATTTTCACTGAATTATATTTTATATTGCTGTATTACTTTAAAATTTATACGCAAAAAACGACAAAAAATGACAAAAATCAAGATTTTCTTGGATTAAATTGTTTATAAGAAGAAAACGGAACAGAGTTGAGAGTGAAAAACATATACCTATTCATCTACGCATCCCTTTTATTAGTACTTTTGTCACCAAAACGCTGTTTTAATTCTCTACCGATTGGCCTAGTTGTATTATTGACGATTGGAGGAAAGTTGTTTTTGTGACGTGTCTCGTGCCTGTATCGGGACAAATGATGATGCTGGAAAATTCGTTTGAAAATAATGAATGAAAAGTTTTATGTAGGCTGTTTGAAGTTTAAGGGGTTAGTCGCAGTCAGGAAAATGGAAACGGACAGTTTCTTGTGTGTTTTTTTTTAAGGTATTAAATAATAATTTTTATTAATGAAATGTACATATATTACAAAATATGTCTTAAAGAATTATAAAAGAATTTTTGTTTTAAGAAAAGGTTAATTCATTTCGTCATAACAGGCGATGGCGTGGGTGGCCACTTGCTTTGCGGTGAGCAAGATTTCTTCAAACTGGCGCACCTGGAAACAAAACTAAAGGAAGATTTAGAAAATATATTAGACTAACGGGTCCCTGACGAAGGATTTTTTATTTTCTTGTATACTTTTTTTTTTATCCTGTATTGAATCGCTTAATTTTAGTGAAAAAATTGAAAATCAACTTCAAATGTAGGCCATCTTGTTTTAAATTAATTTTTTCCAAAATCCCTCGTTCAGGGACCCGCTAGACTAATCTATTTTTGAAATCTACCTTTGTTTTTGTTTTCAGGTAAACCAGTGTAGAGAAATCTTGCTCACCGCAAACCTACGTTTTTAAATCATCGTCTACGTCGTTGCCTGTTATGACGATATAAATTAAACGTTTCTTAAAACAGAAAATGTTTTTTAGTTCGTTAACACATGCTTTGTAATATACTTAACTGCTACTTATGCAAATTATTATTTAATAACAAAAAAAAACCACAAAGAAATGTCGTTGTTCCTATTCCTGACTGTGG